ACTTGCAATTAAAAAAAAAAAAAGCGACATTAAAAAATGTAATGCTTAAAAAGAAGAACTTAGGCAGAATTTTAAAAGGAACTTTAGGGAGCATGAAGTTCAAATCCCATTTAATTTATTTTTATGTCTTGAAAAGTAACTGATGCAGAATAGTTCAGGGGGCTGTTTAAGTGACATATAAATTTTGAGCTGGTCCTTTCTATATGCTCACTATGGACAGAAATGGTGATATCTGAATAAAATTCAGTACTTTTCACAAAGTACTATAAAAGTAGTCACTAAGGTCTTTCTGAAGGTCTCTGCCCTGCCTTTGATTGAGAATCTTATAGAGGAGAAACAAAAGCTCTTCGTAGCAGTTCACCAGACGAGGAGATGGACTGTATCAGCCAAGGATCTCCTTGTTTTTTTCCCATCCTAACAGAAATCTAATGGCTTTTTGAAACAGAGGATCACAAACCTGACTCTGAGAAACAGATGAGAGCTTGCTCCACAAAAAGTCACCTATGATTGAAAGCCAGGCCTGACTTTTTGGCCTGCTTCCATATTTTTAAATGAAGAGAAAAATTATGGAGCCCCACCTGACAGGCTCAGGGCCAAGTGGTAGCCAGGGGCTCCCTGCAGGCCTGGCTCCCACATAATCGTGAATTTAGGCAGCTGCAGGGCGTTGCAGTGGCCTAGGATGCTGTCCTCTGAAGGTTTGTGTCTATTGCTAACCATGCATAAGTTGTTTAAGTGATAAGGTTACACAGGCCTAGGGCTCTGAACACAGTTAGAAGGAATACGTAGCTTCAGTGAGAAAATGTAAATATAATTCCTGTGAGTTAAAGACAGCAGAGTTGAGAAAGACTGTATCAAAGCTTGGTCTTGCATATAAAGGCTAAATTTCCTTGCTCAAAGTCACTCTGACTCAAGCACCAAATTCATACTCATAGAGAGAGACATGGGAGCCTTAGAGTTTTATATAATTTAAAACTTAAGCTAGATTCTGTTGCTGAAGAATTTGTAGATTTTGGTCTTTAGGAAGAAGAGTAATTTGTAACATATATCGGCACAATGGCAAAAGAGGTAGTTTTGAACAACCAGTGTAGTAAAACATTCAAAAATAACGAGAAACTCCCCGTACCATGTTTTTATAATTGGATGATTAGTGAAAAAATAAAATGAAGTGATTGCTTTGAAGTTATTCAATAGAACATGATGGTTTTGCTGTTTATATTTCATGCTTCTGCTTTCTACAATGCATAGAACTATCATGCTGTTTACATGAAAAACACCCTGCTTATCAGAACACGAGTAAAGTGTTTAAGTTAAAAAACTACAGTATTTTAAAATCATAAATATAAAATGGAAACATGTTGCCATATACTTATTTGGTGCAGAGACACAGTGCCAATAGCTTGTCATACCGTATCATGATTCTGTCATTTTTAGCCTGAGGCTGGTTGATTTTTCATGAGCTTAACTCTGCCTGAATAACTTGTGGTTTATGCTCTTTTTTAGTTTTAGACAATTTTAGCAGGGTAAATTTGTTTTCAAAAGACTCAGGGAAAATGGTAATCTCTCCTGAACAACTAAAGATGCTTTGAAGAAGAAGTTGTATGAAAATGCATGGTCCATTATCAAATATGATTGGCTGCTTTAGGGGAATGTACTTATAAAAATAATCCAAAGCAGAGCATTTTGGTATGATGTGAACATATGTACAACTTGACTGGTTTGTTTTTAAATATCCCAGTATTCAATAATACATTTTTTTCGTCCTGCCATTTTTGTTGTTTTAGGTGGTAAACTATGTTAGAAGAGTGTCCCCAAACAAAATGTTTTCTGTCAAATACATGAATATTTTCAGACAACTCTCCTAAATACAGTGAATTCTGAGTTAAATATGCAGCATTTCAAACATAATATTGGGCTCTGTCCATTACAGAATGAATTCAACTTCTGTTTAATAATGTATAGAGTGAGGTAGATGAATTAACTAAAACTTATCTATAACACACACAATTTTTAGTGAAGCCAGTCTTGGAAGTAATACCAAATCTCCTGTTTACTGACAATGATATTAATGGAAAAATTAATGAGTGTGAACAAGTTGCTTTTATTTACCAAGTTAAGCTCCAAATCAACACAAATATGAAAAAGAAAAGAAAAAGTTTTATTATGTTAAATTTGACATTAAGTTTTATGTCTCAGACTTCTGAGACAGGAAATGACAGTGGCTGGGATCCAGCTACCTAATTCCAGGTAGAACTGGAAGATAGGCCCCCAATACCCACTTCACTCCCGGACTGCAACCCAATGTTCTTTGCATGACTACATAATTCATCAGCTGCTTCACATAGAAGCCTAATAATAATTGCCTGTATTTGCTCAGAAATGCAGGAATCACCACTACTGTAAACCAGACAAAACTTTACCTCCATCCATCAAGAAGTCCAGTTCATTTTAGTGATGGTCTGGTCTACAATGAAGACTAAAATACATATCTTTTCTTTAAGAAGTTATTTATTAGTGCACTCAACAGAAAGTAGGAAATATAATTTCTGGAGTCTGGAATCCATACCCTAACCATGTCACTGGACCAGAAGGCCATGGAAAATTTGGACTAAATCAGATCTACCCTCTTTGTTAAAGCTGAATGGTGCACATCCAGGAATGGAATGGGCATTGGACAGAAAGACAGGAGGATGTCTCATTTCCAGTCTTTGCTTCCACTATCTGCATTTTATACTAGACTATTCCTACAGAGACTAGAACTAGTCCGATTAAAGCAAGGGACCGAGTTTGTCCATTCGGTTTTTGAACAGTTTCTCTGTCATGAGAACATTCCAGAATGTGGAATATTTTTTTTCTTGAGAGCCTCCAGACAGCTGGTTAGTTTGTGTTTAGCTTCCACCTTACCAGTAAGTAACACAAACTAGACTTTTCCTTTCTCCTTTGCATGTCACATTTTCCTGAGAAACTACTGATGTTCATGTCAAGGGATGGGATGCTGCTGCTGTAATTAATATGTCTCTACTGACTGCCAAATTACTGTCTCTAAAAGACAGAGACCAATAAATATTTAAAGTGATTTAAAGTTTGTGCACATAGTACCTGTTTTGTGGAAATCTTCATTGCTGAAATAGCAGTGGGTTCCTAGGGAAAAAAAAAAGAGTTAAAATATAAAATGGGCTCTATAGACATAAAAATTCTGCTAGAACGCTATTTGCCCAACCTACAAACCCTGAAATTAAATCAGACACTCCTTGGTAATAGTGCTTCTTGTTGTCTTTTGCAGTGGAATAGTTTCTAGCTGTAAGTGAATTAGAATGCATGTACATATCCGGGTGTATCTTTGATTGCTATGTTGATTGTAGACATATGATTTTCCATGATTATTATAGTTTCACTGTGATTACTTTGTTACTACTTTCACATCTTGAAATTAATTTCTACACTTAATATTAAAACTACATTTAAAGAACCTCCCAGGTAATATGAAAATAATAATGGCTGTATAAAATATGTAGATAGTATATATTAAAGGTGATAACACTGAAATAAGCAACACATTTTAACCATATCAAGGTGAAAAACCCATTCCTGCAAAATTTTATTTAGAAGAACAAGCCTTAATCCCCAGCATAATCTTGTTGACTGCACCGAACTATTCACATACAAAGAAGTTACTCATATTTGCAGAACACAGAACTAAAACTGGCAAGAGGTTTTTTGCAGCCTGGAATACCCATTATTTAATCAACCAAATGGGTCATTAAGAGAGTTATTGTTCTCCTAGCTAAGTCTACTCTTAATTATACTTATCTGTAGTAAGCGGATGTCAACCCAGTATCTACTTTCTTACATGAGAGACTGTAGGAAATATTTAACAGAATAAGTATGTTTAGATTTGATTAAGAGACTGTTACACCTTTTAGGCCCAGCTACTTGAATGGATTTTAATCCCGAGATTAAAAGTGGCATAATTTTGTTACAAAGCCTGCAAGTCAATTCTATATGAACTTTATTCCACCTAAAAATCTACTGTTGATCCCACACACCATACTTTTGGTTATGTACATTAATAAAGTCCTTATTAAGCTTTTACACTTGTGCAGCTTTCAACTTGCTTATCCTGAGAGAATTTGGTATGGGTCAGTGGATGTTAAGCATGTGGACTTGCCTTTACAAATGGGTTAATAGACCTTATATTAGAAAGCATCAATTAAGTGTAACATTTGAATGAAAATTGAACTCATTAGTTTGTTTGCTCAGCTGTTCAGAGAAATATTGCACAAATGGGGTTAAAGGAGGCATTTGTTATCAATGTAACAGATATGGAAGACTTCAGTTTCGTGGAATTATAAATGAAAAGCATTGTGTTCTGCACATTGCAGTTTAAGCATCAAAAAGCATTGTTTATGGTGCACGTAGACTCTTTAGTAACTAAAGAAAACTTACATTTGGTTAAGGTACATGTAAAATCTGTTGCAAATTCCCTGTTGAAAGATCCATCTTATGCATACAAATTCTGCTTATTCCACTGAAGTACGTTAATGCCCTCTTTAAGGCTTAAATACATGCCAAAGGAGATAAATGAGCTTTCAAGTAAATCAGAACACCAGAATCATTTTGTGTAACAAATAAATACACATGCAAAGTAAAATACCAGATTTGAATTTGCCATTAACCATTCTACTTCTGTAAAGCCTTTCTGAAATAAAACTTTCACTCCATTTATTTTCTTTCTTTCACTTTTATATTTCTCTGATCTCCTTTAGCTTGGCACTTCTACTTCATTTAGGGAAGAAATTCATACATTATCAACAAGTGCCAAATTACCCTGCATTAATGTAATGACTTTTGCATGTATAAAAGAGAAAAAAAGCTGAAAGTCACAAATCACTTGTCTCATTTTCTCCTTATATTTTCTACTTTATTTTTCAGTTAAAAAAAAACCAAACCAAAACCCCACATTTCTGTCCTCAAAAAAACCCATGGATTGCAGAAACAGACACCCATTTTTCAGTGGTATCTTGCACTCAAAACAGTAGTTTCTGTGCAAGATTGGTACCAGTAAAGGCAAGATTGCCCATAAGAAAAAAATAAAAATAATATTGAAAGTAATAATAAGAAGATATACAAGCTCTGTTTAGATATGTTGTGTCTGTTCAGAAACCAAAGATAAAGGGATGGCAACTGAGAATGATGAGGACATGGTGGCTGGGCCCGTGGCAGGTTCGGAGCACAGTCCTTGTCAGTATATCTGGAGTGAGTCCATACGACGCGGGGCTCTCCGAGCATGCAAGCATCATCTTCACACTGCCAGATGAACCTTGCCCTTCCAGCTAGGTATCAACCCCCCGAAAGCCTGGAGCCTGTGAAATGGTGCTATAAAATGGCACTGACAAAAAGAATAATGTGGGGAATGGAAATGATTTGTTGTGTACAAAACACAAGACATCCCTGTGTTCTGTCTCAAAGTGTTTGAAAGGTTCACTCAGCTTTGACTTGCAGGGTTGCCTATAGGATGCCTTATTTTTTAGGTGGCTCAGATGGGAAAACTGGAAGAGATTGATTTTCACAAAAAAGTACTAAAGATTAAGGGGTGGTTATGGTGTCTTGTGTCAAACCATGAAAATGAGACCCTAAAGTCACCTTTGAAAATATAAACACTTTCTTTGTTTCTCAGATTATTAGGCATAAGAAAACTGTGCAGACCACTGTTTTTCCAAAAGTATCTTCCTATATCACATTATGCTGATAGTCTGAGTACTGTTAAGAGTTTATGCATCTATAAAAATCGTGTATTACATACGTCTGTGGGAGAAAATAGACAGGCATTATTCCCAGACTTGCACAGATACATATTTAACTACAGCATGTAATGGCACTAAGATTCAGAGGTACTAATGTACTTCTTAAAGCACAAAACAAAAGCCCAGAATGCCTTTTCTTTTATCATTAACCTCCAGCTAGCACTGAATGTCTCAAGGTTTATTTTGACTAGTGTCTGGGTCTTTAAATGACAAGCTAATTAGAGGGGTATGCCAGGCTATTCCTTGGCTAGACTGCAAGAAGTTTAGTTTGCAGCTGTCCACAGAGAAATCTACAACCTGACACTTGAAATTTAGCCGCACTTACCCGAAAGACTGTCATTTCTTCCAGCAAGACTTCCTCTAATTCATGCCAAGTCTCCTTAGGAATTGAAACCACTTTAAGAACTGTTCCAATATCTTGAAAAGAAAAAAAAAAAAGTTTTCAGGTGCTTAAGAAGCATACTTCAGTTTCAGAGCAGCCGGAGTTTCTTGTAGTATGTAATTATTTCACATATAAAGATTGTGAAGCTACATATCACTGAGCACTCATTATTCAAAATACCAACTGCTATTTAAAATAATCCAGAAGAACATTGAATTTCAGGAGGGCATTTCACGGAAGTCTTTCAATTATCAAAATGCAACAAAGAAGATAAATACTGCTATAGTTATTAAAGAATGAAAAGGACTGAAATACTATTTAAGTGACAGTATAAAATGACAGATGTTTCAGTCATTTACTTGAGGAAGGAAATGCATGAAATTTACCCAGGCATGTTTTATTGTCCATTTTAATATGATGTTTGTCATTCTTAAAATGCATGTGAAGATGCTGTCAGAAGGCTCAGTATGGATAGAAAAACATCTGGACAAATGTTGTTAGACAGATGAAGCTGTTAGATCTCTTTCAGTACAGGCGATCTTCCCCATGTCAAATAAAGTACCTAAGATGTATAAGTCCCTTAAGGTGTCTATATTTCTCTGTGTGTTAGATACTAGTCTTTGCTGAGGGGAAAAAACAATACAACTTGTATCTTCTGTTTAGAAATAGGTGTGTGCCAGCATTTTAATACTATATCCATTTATACTCTTGGGGTTGTGCAATTGGCTTTAACATGAACAAGGCCAACGCTTGAAATTCCAGAGCTACAGCCTCTGGCTTTGTGAATATCATTTGTGATTTAAGACCATTTCTGTTTTACAGCTTCTGCATCTGTGATTTATTTGTTTGTTTTCATGAACAGAATTTTCAGAAGGGAAAAATAAAAGGATCATTTCTAGGCTGGTACACATCACTGCAGACTCTCTGAAATGCAGACAACTCTGGATGCAACTTTTCTTTTTAACCATCCAAGTTCGTAGTGCCATGTAAATATATCATAGGAATAACAACTACGTCCCGGAGGACCTTTCATGTTGCACATTTTATATCAGTAAAAATTTAGGAAAATATAAGGCATTTTAAAATCGCTAAAATTCTCAAAGTAACAGAACTGAGAAGATCAACATTCTCAAATCAAGAATTAAACAATTACACAAAATCAAAACATATTTTGTATGTGTATATGTGTGTGTGTTAGTTGAAACTTCTGATTAAAAAGATGACAACTCACCACTTCAATATTGAAAATACAGACAAAATATAAACAAATAGATAACAGGTTGAAAATGACATTTTTGTAAGGTGACTATCTTAAAAGCTATTGATTTCATAAGAAAATTCTGGTATTTCAACTTCTGTATAGGAATTTGGATTAAAATATTCTAGAACTCCTAGAATATCCTGTAGAACTGAGATTTTTATTTTTCCATCTGCTTCCCTTTAAGCAGATGTTGGTTTCGAAGTACGTATTTTTTGAAGTTTAGAAAGATGAGATTTTTTTCCACAGAATATCTATGTCACTGTTTTCTTTCATTAGTCACAAATTCATAGATTCTTTTTTAAAAAGAAAAAAGTTCTTTCTTAAAACAACAACAAAGCAAATCACAACTTTCTTTTTATTTAGGCAGCCACATGTACAAACTAAGCTAGTAAAATATTACTAGCTAAGTTGTTTTGGAAGTGGTTTTCATTATGGTTACTGCTACTAATTGAATATATTTACTTCAAGAAATATTGAAAAAATACAGAACAAATGCAAGATAAACTTTAAAACAAGAAGAAAAAAAAATCCACATTTCTACAAAAGAGTAATTAAGAACAACAGAGTAATTCAGAATAACAGATAATTTAATGTTAGTTATATTTGTAGTTTAATGGATGCTTTCATTTCCTTAATTATCCTGATAATTTGATTGCTGTGGTTTTGAGGAAAATACATTGTGCGGGTAAAAAAGAGAACTCAGATCTAATAAATATAACAGCGTAACAATGTGTCATGACTGTATTCTGACTTGGGCTATGGCTGTCCTCAGTCGCAGTCCATCAAATGCCATATTCTAGAAATAAAGGGGGATTTTTGATAAAACAGCACAAGGGAAACTGTGGAGCTTGAGTGGGCACTGAGCAGACCTGAGTTCCCCACATATGTTGTTTCAAAAAAGGTCTGACTTTTAAGTGGATCCTGCAACAATTACAGTCGCTTGATGCTCGAGAAAGCCTCTGAGGTCAAAGATACACTATGTTAATCACTACGGCGACTCTGGTCAGGCCACAGGTACCAAAGGGGTTTTATCTGAGTTCTAGATCAAGTTTTACAGAGTAGTATTTCAAACAATTTCACACAAATGGAACCAGGCTTCTCCTTTAGGATCAATAGGGTCTGCTCAGTAAGATAAGATTACTGTTATTAATTTGCTTTAGTGACAGATGTACCTTGACTGTGCCAAATGATCCCAAACATCAGACACTCAGGATATGCATTAAGTGCGTATCTTAAATCCTGTTTTTTTCTGATATAAGTTCAAGCATGCCGATATGATTTTATTTCCATTGTGAAACACACTGGTACAATCACAGTGGGAAAGAAACTGCTTGGCTAAAGATTTCACCCACAGGAAAGGAAAATGTGACCACAATGGATGGCTATTAATTATGTTGTGTTCAATTATCATCAGTTATTCAATGAAAAGGAAAAAAAAAGTATTTCTCAACATATTGAAGTTCAGCAGCATGTGGGAATAATGTAGATTGCTGCAATAGCAATGGGAAAATACAGAGAAATGTATCTAATCTGATGGGACAGACCTGCGTAGAAAAATCCAGTCATACCCCAGAGAGCTTAATTCTGGCTTTGTCATAGGTTCAGATCATCAAGTGGGAAACTGGACTGTGACTAGAGTCCCTAATCTGCTCTCTGGCTTGTTCTTTGCTTGGGGAAGATGTAATACACACTGATTGTGTATCTGTTTCTGGTTCTTTTGACTTTGACCAGCCGGCTCAAAGGCAGGCAGGGCCTCAGTTCTGCCACTTTTCCTTTACCCCTGTGTGGAAGATGCCCCTTCCTCATTCTGAAAACCACAATAAGGATAGTGAGCTCAGAGGAGCACGGAGCATCTTTGGTGCCCCAGCTCCAAGCACAGGTGGTGTAACACCTGTTCTTGCCCCATGAGGGTACAACCTCCTGCTGGAAAAAGAACAGTTTCTATGGACAAAACTAATATTTCAAGAAATAATAACACTCTGCACTTACAAAGCTGGGGGTTTGGTGCTGAAATCTCTTTTGGCAAGTGCAAGTAACAATCTTTCAATACTTTTCTCACAGTTCTTTGGCACAATTATCAGCAATGTTGGATGGGATCCAGAGCACTTACCACACACCTGAATATTAGTGGTTTAGGGAATTAAGTGAGTGTCTAAATTCCTAACTCAAAGGTAAGAGCTAGGTATCATTGAGGCTTTTTCAGAGAGAGACCTTGCCTGACTAATTTAGATAAGAACCACTATATGTAATGATAACCATCTAAAAGCTATAGCTCAGGTTTAAGCAAGTCTTCCTGTACTGTCTGAAAACAGACAGGAACTTCTGCATAACTATTCATCTTACTCTAATAGAGGTCTCGAAGAAAGTACAATGAATCTCTCTCTGGAAGTACTTATCTCTTTGCCTTGTAGAAGCCAATGCATCTTTCTTAAACTGAATGCCAAACTTTGGTGAGATAAATGCCACCTCTTGTGCTCAAGATGTAGACATAAATCAGCTCCTTATGTTTGTTCAGCATCATACTCTGCATGCTGAAGGGCTTGTTCCCTCACATCGCAGACAAGGGGAGTATTGCTATTAATTTTTTTTCTGGGCTGAATCAGGTCATAGAAGACTAGTTGAACGGCACAAAACACTGCCAATTGTAGATGGCATTGAAGTCTCTAATGTGTGATGGAAAATATATGTGTTGTGTAAAATCATATGAAACTACTTTTCAATGTTTTATGCAAGAACATATTGTAGCACTGATATCTAATAGCTCAGTTCACAGCTTTAAAGAGTTGGAACGCTTTCTGCAGATCTGCGTTTCCTGCAGTAAATGTTCTGAATTGCTACGCATGCACTGTGTTTGGTACACAAAGCTTCATCAGCTCTCAGTTTACTCATAATATATTTCGGGCATCGACGTGAAAGAGACCTTGAGATTTATTGCTTTGGAAATCTGACCCCAGGTCTAGAGTACCAGAACTGTGCTTTAAGCAAGTAAAAAATTGGACTGTTATAAGACAGACAGCCAGACAGATATTTTTTGGTCCAAAGCTCACAAGAAACAGTGAGGTTTTGGTTTGATTTGTTTTGGCTTTATAATGCCAATGTCTAATTGCTAGCAATTATGTTCAATAAAAGTTTAAAAAACTTTTATTCAACATAACTGAAACACCAGCCAACTAATGGAAAATCTTCAAAGATGAAGAAGCAGATCCACCAACTGCTAATCAGCATAGTTCTGAAGCCCCTGAACTTAGGCAAATGCATATCAGCTAATTTCTGGGGACTGTTATTTCTCATTGTTACCTTTCTGGAAAAAAAAGTCTTTTCTGAGTACGTATTTCCACTTTTATAAAATGCCCAAGCTGTACAATTCCGCAAATGCTTTGGAAAGGTTATCACGTTTCTATTTGAATACCAACTCTTCTTAAAACACTTAGTATGTGCTAGATATCTTCACCTTAAATAAAATGATGCACTCTTCTGGCTAAAGAGCTGGGCAATCTTAAGGCAACACTTGAAATACTTGAAAGGCACACAAGACATTTCCCATACCTGGATACTTGCCTCATTCATGTTAATACTTCTTATGCTACACTTCAAAATGTGTACCTCAAAACCCTCATTTTAATACTAAATTATAATTAATAAGGCAAGATATTTCTAATAAAATTCCCTAATAACAATAGTTGAAAAGAGAGTGGTTTGATCTTAATCCAGTTGGCAAAGCTCCTAAAGAATTAAGATGCAGGCCACGGCCTGAACCTGTAACAGTGAATGTATTTAACAAAGACCTCCCCACATGCACAGTTTTGAGTCTTGCCCCAAATTTTCACAGGTATACACTGTTCTGTCAGTGTTCTGTCTTTCAGAGCATGAAATTTTATCTGATCTATGTCTCCATAATGCCTGGAGGAGCATACAGTGTAGATTCAAGACTTCTCACCTGTGCCAATGAACATCACATCATATTGGCCATCTTCTGCATCTACTCGATCTACTACTATCTGTGTGAACTGGTAATCCACATCTGTTTTGATCATGATTGGACGGTTGTTGATGGGGAATACCGGGTTGTACATGGCTGGATGACTTCTTGCAAATGTTATAACTTCATCAGGAAGGTCCTTGGTGGAATCAAAGCCTCCAAATGTTTTACTGGGACACTGGAAATAAAAAAGAACATGTTTTACATTTTATTCTTGATCACTAGAAACATATTAGAAATCCATTTCATTACAATCATCCCAACTACTGCAGCCTATAATTAATTTTTTTTTTTTTTTTCATTTTGGATGTAAATCAATATAGTTAACAGAATGTAAATGTTCCTCATACATCATTTTTCTTACTACTATGCAGTGCAAAAGGATTTTCAGTCATTTGCTGATTAGTATTAGTCTTTAACTAGCAGAAGGAAGAAATCCTGAATTATCTAAAATCATGCAGTATGAGACAAGCATTTTCAGTATTTGGTTATGTATACAACAGAAAATTAATTAATTATGCCACCATCTTAATTTCAAAGTATTGTCTTCAGAAGTTGACTGGAAGTCAATTCCTGTCTGACGAACCAAATCCTTAAATGCTGGGACAATTCTCTGTTCTACTGACTTTTCAAACTCCTGCTTGTCTCAACAAGCCTGTGTCATCCATGTAGTACTGATAACATTGATCCTGTTACACTAAATCAAATCAAATGAATCCTGTCTGAAATGTATCTCTTTTTTCTCCATTGATTCTAGAGGAAGCTTCCTGTGAGTGTTGCTGGTGATGCTGTCCATGTGAACTGTTAGGTGAGATGAGTCTTGCTAAAGAACTGAAATAACTCCTCACTGTTGTGTACTGCGCAGTAATAGAAAAGTTGGTGTCCTCTTGGGATTAACTGGGTCCCTGTGAAGTAACACAGTAAAGAGTCCCTTTGCCCCCTTATATAGCCATGGGTGGGCCAGACAGTTTTGCCTCTAATCTGTGAAAAGCAGAGGGCTCTGCTTTTCACATTTTGCTCACGTTCTCCCAACGTGAGCAAAAAATAGAGCCTGAAAAGGGAAGGAGAAGTAAGACCATGGCTTTGGTAGCCACGAAAGTATTTCTCCACTTTCACCTACCACATGTCCTCATGGGACTTTTGGCTAATCACCACTATTTGCCCTCATCTCTTCTGTAGAATTGGTAAGTATTTTATGAACAATTAGAGGTTACTTTAACATAAGCATTAGTAGCATGTTAGTAATGTTGAATGGATAAAAAAAAAAATGAGCCACAATGGCATTAGATCACCAGTCCAAAGATTCTCAGCAAAGAACTTGGTGTCCCCCACTCCTAATCTGTTCAGATACCTATTTAAGACATTTAAAACTCTGAAACCCAGTTGACAATAATTATGTTTGTGGCACGAACCTGAAATGATTTGAACCTGAACTATGAACAGCTGGTATTAAAATGCCCTAGATAATTTGCCCTTTATATCCACATATAGAATATCTTCCAATTAAATTAAAAATCTAGAGGACAACATCTTATTAACCAAGAATCCAGACCTTGCAGGATGCTCAGCAGAAGAAATCAATTGTCTTTGCTGTCACCTTGATCCAAATTAATAATTCATCAGAAATGAAATTAAAAAATCAATGTTGTCAAAAGGAGTAGTTGTTATACTCAGCAAAGGGATGCTTCCAGCATGGACATATAAAGTGTAAATAGTCCCTTTTTGGCATATTTGTTAGTAAGCAAATTCCCACATTCTGTTCTATTATATGGTATGGAAGGGAGGAAGGGAGGGAGGGAGAATGTTTGATTAATGCATGTGGAGCAGACTAAGCAGAAAGCAAGTTAGTTATCTACTTTATTGTGTCAACATTTTTCAGCCTTTTTATTATTATACGTTCTTGCTCTCTTGTACAGAAATATTACAAAGAGAAAATCAGATAGGCTTTTTATAATCATTGGCCAAGTCATTGTCTGTCTCAAATTTATGTTTAAAATTCTACACTTCAATTTTAAGTTTGCTTTACATCTCGATTAATATTCTAACTACAGTTCAATACTAATTACTCAGATTAATTAGATAATGATTAATTAGATATTATATGTGAAGTGCTTTAAGTATAGAAATCACTACACAAAAACTAAGTATTGTTAATTGCAGCTGGGCAAACTGAAAAAAAGCAGTAAATGAATATTCATTTCAATTTCAAGTAAATGAAATTCAGCTGTGTTTCAATTGCTTGAATATTTACTTTCTGGCTCATTTTCTAACAAAGGATTTTACTTGCAGCAATGTTGATGATATATTTTATGCAGAAAAATCATAAAACTAGAATTAGTGTCATAATTCTGTGTGTTTAAATTAGACTCCCAATTCTGAGAGCCAGATTACTCCTTGGATCCCCTGCTTTTCTGAGAATAAAAAAATGACAGTAACTTTGTGTCTTTACATCTAAAGTTTAAAGTGCATACCTGGACTAGGCTGTGGCTCACATTCATCCCACCCCACTTTAGGAAACTGACTGAAATGAAATCAAACTCTCATTGCTATAACTCCCTCCCTTTTCAATGGAGTGAAATGGGCACCATCAATAGGCAAGATTTAGCCCATCCATAGTCCAAATTGCTTGCAGAGGAATCTCAACTCACATAAAGACAGAGAAGAGAGAGAAGAGAAGAGAAGAGAAGAGAAGAGGAGAGGAGAGGAGAGGAGAGGAGAGAAGAGGAGAGAAGAGAAGAGAAGAGAAGAGGAGAGGAGAGGAGAGGAGAGGAGAGGAGAGAAGAGAAGAGGAGAGAAGAGAAGAGAAGAGAAGAGGAGAGGAGAGGAGAGGAGAGGAGAGGAGAGGAGAGAAGAGAAGAGGAGAGAAGAGAAGAGAAGAGAAGAGGAGAGGAGAGGAGAGGAGAGGAGAGGAGAGAAGAGAAGAGAAGAGAAGAGAAGAGAAGAGGAGAGGAGAGGAGAGGAGAGGAGAGGAGAGGAGAGAAGAGAAGAGAAGAGAAGAGAAGAGAAGAGAAGAGAAAAGAAGAGAAGAGAAGAGAAGAGAAGAGAAAAGAAGAGAAGAGAAGAGAAGAGAAGAGAAGAGAAGAGAAAAGAAGAGAAGAGAAGAGAAGAGAAGAGAAGAGGAGAGGAGAGGAGAGGAGAGGAGAGAAGAGAAGAGAAGAGAAGAGGAGAGGAGAGGAGAGGAGAGGAGAGAAGAGAAGAGGAGAGAAGAGAAGAGAAGAGAAGAGAAGAGAAAAGAAGAGAAGAGAAGAGAAGAGAAGAGAAAAGAAGAGAAGAGAAGAGAAGAGAAGAGAAAAGAAGAGAAGAGAAGAGAAGAGAAGAGAAAAGAAGAGAAGAGAAGAGAAGAGAAGAGAAGAGAAAAGAGAGAAAATATAGCTGTCCTGGGGAGGAAAGTCCTGTCATGTTTGAAGAGAAGAGAAGAGAAGAGAAGAGAAAATATAGCTGTCCTGAGGAGGAAAGTCCTGTCATGTTTACTTATGTTATGGTCACAAAACAAGGATACACAAAAAAGACACTATCCTTGATGTTAATGACAGGACTACTTTTGATATTAGTGGGTCTAGGTCAAGCTAATTGGCAAGGCACTTCATCGGAACTCATGTTTATATACTTAATCAATCCCACTGATAGCAAGGAAATAGAAAGTTTTCAGGTGCCAAAAGATAGGCATGAATACAAATATCCTGAAAAAGTTTGGAGAAATGAGCTTGATCTTGGATTCAAGTAGAGTCAAAGGACTCTCTCACTTAACATCCACTTCCAATTGTTGGTCACCAGTATGCTATGTCAGGGGTTTTGATCAGCCAGGAGGAGGTAACTAGGCTATCCCCTAACTGGCTCATTAGGGAATCCAACAGAATAAATCAATAGCTGCATTTTGGTAGGAACAAAAAGTGCTTTGATCATAACTGAAGATAGATTCTTGGTACCATGAAGCAGAGAAAACTTGAGCTCTGTAGCTGAATTCACAGCAAGTCAGATATGAATTCAGGATAAGGTATTTCATTCAAGATGAGGTATATACAAAAATCCTCCTTGCTCTCCCAAATATTATTAAAAGTTAAAAAAAAAAAAAAAAGTTCTATACATCTTAAAGGAAAAGTCCTGGCAACTTCTTTGTTAAATGTGAAGCTGATGTAGAACTGTTTACAAAGTTTTCTGACTTTTCAAAAGAACCATTAACTTCCCTTTTTCTTTACTCATACTGGGCAAGTCACCAGATGCTCAAGAAGTTTACTGGCACCTCACCTATTAAATTCCTCGGATAATTCAGCACTGTTTAACTGCAGTGAGATCTGGAACTGAATAAGAACTAAGAAAGAAGCTTAGGTTTTGTTTCTCCCTTCCCTTTCCCTGTTTCTTGGAAAAGGAAATCCACAAGTCTGACATCTAAAGGAACTTCAAAAACCTTTCTTCTTCATTCTCAACAGGGCTTCAAAGCCATTGAAAATACATCCAATTTTAGCACCTTAGAAACAAAAAGCTTCTTTTCAGCCAGAAATGTCTCATTTTAAAATTCAGTTTTATCCTACTAATACAATAGAATGAAATAGCAACTATGAGGGAAAAAAAATCTTTTTCAAAGTGGTAGACACCAGGATTAGAGTCACTGGCAGTGGACTAGGAGAAACTGATGGCCTCAGCCGCTCTTTAATTAACATCATTTACAGTGGCATGGCCTCTTGCACGACATGATACGACTGCAGGGCTATGTAGAATTGTGTAATTTGGGATCACATTCGCCCTTAGGCAAGAAAAGTGTTTACAATGAAATCTGAACATCTTCGCACTTTCTTTGTGAATCTTAGTATAAGTATGTTACAGTGAAATTGTAAGGGTAAAATCCATTCTGAGACAGTAGCCAGAAAAAAAACGTATATGTGACAACTGTATTTCCCTACTTTGGCAAAAGATCTGGTGGCTTAGGTCACTTAGCCACTTTAGGGGCTGGGTTCGGGTCCCCGCTTTTCTGCTTGTTCTTGGGAATTTGTTAAGTTATTTTTCTCCCATATGCATCTCAGTTCCAGACCCTCAGACAAGTCTTGGAATAACCCACAGGTTTTGAGGCAGGCAGAGCTGTGTTGCCAGTCTCTAGGGCAAATATTTGAGTTGTGCATACAGAACCTCAATAGAGCCGTGTCTGATCTCTGCTGAGGAATGAATGTAACAGAGCCACTGTGCAGCAGGCAGTTCTTTATCTCGGTCTATTTCTGTGATTGAAACATGTAACATTCTTCTTTGTCTGTAGTTTTAAGTAATATCTATTACTTGTTTTTGTTTAGAAAGGTTAATCAATACTGGAATCAAAGAGGAATATAAATAAACAGAATAACGATCACTAACTTATTAAGTCTGTCAGACTGAAAAGAAGATGACATTAGCTATACAAGAAATACCAAAAATATCTACACATTCATATTTTCCACAGGGATGTAAAACAATACAACTTCAAAAAAAACCTCTGACATATCAGCATTAACTATAGCAGTTGAAAAAAAAAAGTTCAGCATCAAATGAGAAATGAAACCTCTCCTATGCTGCAGAGCTTGTATTTTAACTCTGGAAAAAATTAGGAATCCCTTTAGCAGTCATAGTGAGGGAGCAAGGAGTGCTGAGGAATCTGGCTGTCAGGGAGCCACTGTTTTCTTTTACTTAGGAAGTCATTTTCATTATGCTGAGTGTATATATTGTCTAACTGTTGGAGATCAGTTGAAAGATCAGGTTTGAAAGAACAATTTCAAAACATACCAGACAAAAGTAGAAAAACTGATAATTTAAAAGAAAGGATCAAAGTTATTCCTGGTTTGTTTTGTGCCTTATATTTAAGGAGACTTTTAAAAGAATATTATAGATATATTATTTACATTTACATTTATATGTTTATATGTATACGTATGTATACATATATTTAATCTTCAGCAATGACATTTCAGAACTTAAATGGGCCAAGCTGATTTATATTAGCTAAGGAGCTACCCCAATGTACACAATTAATGTTTTTTCATAAATGTCCCATCTTCCTAGACTACTGGTAATTTCAGAGGCAGTTAAATATTTCTAGAATGTGATGATATCAGTTGGGAATTGTAAATATGGATGTCTTATATACACTGATATTTTAGTCATTCATAAACTAGAAACAAAGAAACAGGTAGAAGCACAGATTTTAAAAAATGCCAGCAGAACTTAGAAATTTTTATAGTCACCCTATCATCCATTGAAGAAATATCTGTCTTACTGTACTAGATTTAATGTCGAGAACAATTGAAAGTTTCTCAACAGCCAGGCAGATGCTCTGCTTTCTGTTCATTCTCACTAAGAATGGCTCAGCCAATATTTGGAACAAAGACAAATTCCAAGGAAAGGATAATGCAGAGTAATTTATTAAACGTTTGACTTTCAGTAAAGTTGTCCAGCCATTGCTCAAGCGTCTGCTGAAGTTGTTAATATGAATGCTAAAATTAAAATCCAAATGAAGTTGCTATTACAGTTTCATACTTTACAAGAAAATCAGTACATTTTGGACCTGGAGGAACTGCTAGCTTTCCCTTCTGCCACGCTAACCATTTCAGTATCTTTTTCAGCTTCTTTCCTGGATCTCAGCTTAAGGACCGTGTAATGTGTGAAAATATTTTCCATAGTTTCCTCTTTTTAGATTAGTCTATTTCTTAGGGTACTTACAGTTCCTGGCCGTGGATATGGCACTCGCCCTTGGTAGGGAACCCACTGGTAGTTCGGGCCATCTCGGTGGGCATAGGGACCAAGAAATACCCTCCTCACATCAGTCATGCTGTACATACACACTGCTGACCCCTTGAAGATATTACTAAAAATGAGGGGAGAAGAAATCAAATCAGGTTCTTTAAATTATCAGTCAGTTTAATCGAGTGAAAGAGCTATGGGAATAGCAGCTTGTTGCTTTCTAATTTATTGCATGTGCTGATTATCAAAACTCTGACATGCTCTCAGAGCAATCCTAACTCACCTCCTGTGAAAGTTCAGCATAACTGATACGATCTCTCAGACATTTTCCGAAGCAGATGGCTGCTATTCCGCTATTTAAAACATATTGTCCCCAGAAGGCCAAAGCCCCAATTTGAGTAAACTTCAACAGGACTGTCCCTAGAGAACTATTCAATTCTTTCCTACACTTCACATTTTTCTGGTTTTTTTAGCAGTCTCTTCCGTTATTTGGGCAGCACACACGCAAACTTCATTGTTGTTTCTTACCTTGAGATTTCTTACAGAAGACAGTAAGGACTTGTAAATCTCCCTCTTCTATGCCTGGTTATCACTAAAAACATTCTTTTTGTTTAGAAACTAAAACTTTTGTTCTTCACAGATAAATGTGGCAATGCAACCAGTACTGTAAACATTCCTCAGGCCAAAGCTACAAGTATAATTTTGATCTTGGTGAAAGCACAATGAAACCAAAACATTCAAATCACAGTTATTTGTGATTCAATAACAGAACTTTTGAAAGATCGTTAAACTTTCCAGATTTCAGCAATATTTTTTACTAATATCTCCTTGAGTAACCAATTTCTCACACCACGGATTTTCTATTTTACCCTGCCCCCAGACAAGCATATTTATGCTTGTGCTGTTTTTCCAGGTCTGTGTGGAAAGGGCTACAAATTCTGATCCCCACTTATTATAAAGCCAATTCAACGGCAAGAACAGCCTAAGAAACTGATAGTCTTTGTGATTACTAGCTTCAGAGTGATGATGTACATTGCTCATAAGAAAAGAAACCTAATTCATTACTTCTTACTGCCACTGACTTCTGAGTTCAAAGGTTAAGAAAATTTTGTTTTTCTTAAAAATGTTTTTAACAAAGAAAGCTCTTTAAAACAAGCAGCCACCCAAGTTTCCATGCAAGTAAAATGATACGTTCTATACCTGGAAGTTGTGAACACTCCATAGACTATTGGATTTTTAGGGTCTTTTGAGTTCATTAGGAATACATCCTCTGTAACAATAACAAGGGACAGAAAAGAAAACTAAGTTAATTCATACGGATAATACCTGAAAACATTTCTGTATTCAAAGCCATTTCTGCCACTTACGTAGTTCATCAAAGTGTGTGTCAATGCCATTGGGTCCTGGCACAGAACAAATCAGACGTGCTTTGAGGAACGTTGTCCATTTGTTAACAAGGCTCCTGTGCCCACCAAAGTCATTCTAACAAGAAAAGTATTTTGCATTAATATCTAGTAACAGTCTTTGTTTGAAGTATCACCAGAGTACAGAAAAAATACAATAAATAACCACAAGATGTTACTTACAGAAAACAGAGAAAAGAATTCACCTTCTACATATAAAAGCATTATTATGTTGTCAAGAACACTAATTCTGAATTGCTTTTAATTTACATTGTATTGCTACATATTTCATAGTAACACATCATTTAAAAAACAAAACCAAAAAAAAACCCAAACCTCTTTATATATTCTAATACATACATAAAACTGGAGAAAGACAGACAGGCAGAATATTTTGCTCCAGAGCTCCCAGGCTGCCATGTCCTGGTAAAGCTTAAGGGGTTTATTATTCTTAACTGGGTAGCAACAAAGTAGAAATGCAAGCTGCAAGTGAATGAAGTAGATAAAAATGCCAGAACAGTGGGATCAGTTGTATAGCGGCAAAACTTATGAATAAAGTGCACCAAGGACTCCATACTTATGGGGTAATTGGTTTTCAAGCAACTACCTCTGCATTTGAGAAGATAAATTGAAATTGTGCTTATGGATTAACATGAAATTTTACTGTAAACATCATAGCTGCCAGAGCTACAACATTTATTAATATCATTCCATTTGTAGAAATCTTTTTAAAAGTCTGTCAGAAAAATATTTGGACATTTATCAGTGTGGATGAATGATTCAATCTGCAATCATTAAGGGTCTTCTGAATGGTTGCCCATTTCTACAGCTAAGCTTAGAGAACTGTTTCGTTAAATCTTCCTTTGCCTCTGTTTTGAAGATTTTCACTAATGTGGGAATGGAAAGCTATTAACATTCCTTTAAAAAGTGAATTCTTCAGATGTTTTTGGCCTACCTGGAAGTATCACATTTCCTGTAAAAGATTCTTTCTTTTGCAGACACATTCTAAGCCTCAGAAGATGCCTATGACTTTTTAAACAAAACATCGTAGTTTGTGAAGCTTCCCCAAGCAGAGAAGAACTGAAGAGCTACCTTTGGAGCTAGCTAGCTAACTAGAGATACCTTAGTGTTATCCCCTAACTATTTTTCACTTGGGATGATCTCTGCTTTAGTACAATGCCAATGTTAATACTGAATAGTTTACAGGCAAGAAAATGCAGTTTCTAAAATCACTCACAAAGTGTCCTGCAAGTGTATTCAATCTCACATGAAGAAGTCATCATTTTACCTTGCAGATCTGCCCTATTCTGGCATGAGTGGCTTTTCCAGTGTGTTCTCCATCAATTGCATTTTCACGGAAGAAGAAATAGATTTTGTCATCTTCTGGATTGTCGCTCTCTGGTATCAGGTGAGCACTAATAAATCTAGGATCTGAGAAGACAATGCCGTTGTGCATGTTACTACTCCATGAAATGAAACACTTGCCTTCCTTATATAAATGAATTGTGATTTTGCTTCCCAAGAATCAATCTTTGCATCAAATGGCAAATACATCTGTTAGGTACATCATTACCCATTAACATGTGACAGGTATTTACATTCCTCTTATCTTTAATACATAGAGGTGTTTGCTACAGATATTTAATGAACAGTTCTTAACTTTATTATTGGAGCAATTAAACATTCATGAAATCTCTTTACATAATGGTAAAATAATAGTACAGCATGGCTTCCTAATTCCATGTATTTATTACTGACATTTTTCTTGTTTCTTTGGATGTTTTGACTTTTGTGAATAATCTTTCTGTATGTGTCGCACATAAAATGAGAGAATTATTGAGACAAATGTAATATTCCTAACTTTAGCAATAATGAAGAAAATATAAAGAAAGTATTTTACATCTAGAAAAGTATTAATGTGTTACTGTCAAAAAAATTGAGTTAAAAAATACAGTTTTGATTGATATTGTCTACTTCCACACTATGATACCCTAAACCCCAACATTTTTGTCTCATTTTCAGAAGACAAATGCATTTGTGAATTTCTATTCAAGTTGTTGAAATACTGTGTCACCATTTTTTTAAATAACTTTTTTTCTTCATAAAAACCCTTTATTTCTTGCAATTAGAGTGATAACATTATTTGGTGATAAAGAAGATACACCAATAAATGAAAATACATAAAATGTAGACATACTGATTGGTTATGTAAAAAATGGTGGAAAGAAGTTTTGGGAGAGAATTTTATAGAAATCATAACAGTAAATTCATACCAGTGGTGAATATGGCTCATCATTGTATTTTACAGAGATACTTCAGCTGGTATCTTTCACTATATTGGGAAAAAGAAGGCATATCCAACAGATTTACCAATCTGCTTTACAACCATTTTACATCCTGCTAGGCTAATTAACTGTGAACTATATTTAACTACTCGGAGTCCTGTTCTTATGTGAAATGATAAGCTATTTTAGTGTCATGCATTAACATCTTTTCAGTGCATGTTTATTGCTATATAGTCATGGAAATAATGAACTGTACTTTGTTTTGCCAGTTTGCACTAGCTGTCCTGTGAAACCCATTGCCTTATTAAGGATGGCAGTGTTTGTAAGCAACATATTTTTATATATTTATATATATGCATGTATGTGTTTAGATGTTTCTATTATATGAGTACATACTGCATAATTGTCTGTGTGTGTGTGTGTGTGTGTATTCTCATGTACTCTGTGTGTGTGTGTATATACGTACACACAGAGTACACGAGAATAACCATACTGGCTTAGGCCAAGGGTTACTTAGATCAATATATAGACTTCAACATTGTCCAGAAGTAATTATCTGGGAGAAAGAAAGAATATGGTAAGGACAAATAATACTCTCCCAGAATAATCTTCCTTCCTCCAACTATTTTCAGTGTAGCTGATTCCCTGAATTTGGTTGCTTTCTACGTGCTTACTAACTCTCAATAGATTATTCATCCAGTTATCTGTCTAAACTCTTCTTGAACCCATGCAAATTTCCAGCATTCATAGTGTCCTTTTGGAATTTGTTCCTTGTCTACACAATTTAATTAACTAAAACCTACTTCTGTTTTCGTGTTTTGAACATTGATTTTGCTAACTTCATTTGGTGCCTCTTAATTCCTGTATTGGAAATACCCACGGTGTTCAAGATGTGGATGAATTGTGCTAATATACAAGGGCTATAGCACTGCTCTTTGTTGAATTCTCTGTTCTTTTTCTATTAATTCCTAACATTTAATATGGATTTGACAGTTCCTAAGCAGTAATCTGAAATTTTCATGGAACTTTATGTGTCATAACCCCAGAACCTCACTCTTCATTGGTAATGCTTAGTCCACAGCCCATTGTTTTATATGTGAAGATAGGCACGTTTTCCCCATGGTTTATCACTATATCATTCATCAAGAATAATTTAATTTGCTATTTGATTGCTTACCTACCCAGTTGCGTAAGATCATTTTGTAATTCTTCACAGTCTTCCTTTGTCTCACTATGCTGAATAACTTAGTATCGTGAAAAATTTTCTCATCCTGCTGTTCAACCTCTTTTTCAGGTTATTTATGAACATGTTGAACAACACAGGCCACAGAACAGATCTCTGTGCAACTGTGTCTATTACCTATTGTTTATTAAAATAAATCCTTTTTGACATCTGAAAACATCAAAAATCTGTAAGCAGCTTAAGCTCCCCATCCCAAATCCCAGTAAGTTAAGCTACTAAATTCACTTCCTTTCTTTCTAGCATGCATTTAATAGCCTTCAAGTTACACTGACACAAGGTCCAAGGTAAATAATATCTAGACTATATTGTACCATGGTAAATATCTGTTATTTATATATACAATCTACCAGGGCTTTGAATGCAACTTGTATCACAAGAAACACAAGGCTACAGCTTGAAAATTTCTACATCGCAGCCTGTGGAAGTATACATCAGAGAAAGAGGATACCCATTAGTAGACACTGATCTGGGCTACCGGATCTGGAGAACCTCTTGTCTGAATACACTGTTTTTACAATCTTAAGGTCTTAATGAAAAGGGTAAAAAATATAATTCAACCAAAACTTAAATACATTCCCAAATGGTTGAATGATTTGTTTTTTAGTGCAATGGGTTTTGTAAATCACAAGATATCAAATTCTAAAATAAATCACTATATTATCAGGCATCAAAAATCTAACTTTACATTGGCCTATGAAGATACTGTGGGGAGTCCCATTTGAGTCAGTAATATTGCTGATATAGTACAGGTTACATAAACTTGCCCTCGGTTAGCATGTTATTATTCTTTTCTTTCTGTCTCATAATTTTGCAAGTGAACCTAGAAACAGTAAGAGAGTCTAACATTAAAGATACAAGAATGATAGAAAAATAGTTTAAGAAATTGAAAATATGTATTTCAAATAATTCTGTCAGAGTGGTAGCAGAGGAGAGGGGTGTGAGGAAGGCAGATATAAGTAATGCCATAGCCAGAGCGCATGTGAATATGCTTTATACACATTTCTTACCAGTGCTCATCTGGGATGAATTCAGATTTTCAATTAGTGATTAATAATCCTAACTACATCCCTGAAAATAAAATGGCCACACAGCCTTATATTAGAACACATCCATTGTACATCATGGAACAGTTTTTGTTGAATAACACTGGTGTTTCTTACTGAGCAAACCTTTCACTATCTGGTTAAATCAATATGTTTTACTCAGTAAAAGAGTGGTTCTTCATGTTATAGGGCCCTTGCTCTTGTTACCTGGTGGTGTTTGTTTTTTTCCCCTCTTCCATATAAGAGAGTTATGTCTATAAAATTAAGCAAATAAAGGAAGAACAGGCTACATGTGTTCTGTTGCATATAGAAATAGATTTATTTCTGTTCAGAACTAATATAATGATCATAAAAGCAACAGCATGATTATACGTGTGGAGAGAGGGAGAGAAACGTGGTTGATAATTTCAAAGGTTATAAAGCTAAGAAGTGGGTGGTGTGAACTAGTGATCTGTACTGTGTTCTTTATTGTTTCATTAGCAGAGGAGCTATTTGACTTGCCTGAGGCTTGATGCACATTGCATTTAACTCCAGGGCTTCAGACCATGCTTACAACTAACTGTTTAGGGTCATGATGAATCAATCAGCCAGATGGCCGGCAGTCACGCAACATAGTGCTCTCTATGGACTACGTAGCATGTTTTTATTGCTCTTCTTTGAGGAAGGGAAAGGAGATGTTGTCCACAGATGAGGGACTTCTCCTTGACTCTTCTAATTGCTCACCCATGCAGCAGAAGAAAGAATGTCATCCATGAACGTGTATGTTCAAGTATTGAGACTGCCCTGCCTTACCCTGCAAAATTAAACAGGTTCAGTATCAAGGGGTCCCCATGGGAAGTTTAAAATAATTCAGTCAGGGTTGACCTATTTCATACATTCAACACAGCCACAAAAGAAGTGCTGGAATGAACTTCAAGCAAGTTTTACTGAATGGAAAGTGGGACTTTGATCCAAACCCATTGGTGACAATTGTACAAGTCAGTGCACTGCAGCTATTGTGGATAGACAGGAAGACTTCAAATTTCTGTGTATGAATTATCGGATATTCTGCGACCCTAAAACTGTCTCCAATCCATGAAATGCTCAAAAATGCTGCTACAACAGTTCGACACTTTCTTGTTTAAACGCAGTCTTGCATTGGCTAAAAGTCCAGAAAGTATGTTTTGGGAAAATGAATGTAAGAAATAATTTGACGGCAAATATTTTTCAATGATTCATTGCTTTAAAAAAACACAAGCAGACAATGTGGAAGAGTGCTTTAAAAAACAGCATACATCAAACAAACATGTCTGAAACATGTTTACGCATGATCAAAGAAGAAACAAAGCCACAGCATAAACATGATCAAAATAAGATTACAGCTAAAAACACTTCTCTGATCTTGCAGCCAATGTGAACAAGCTAAAAATAAAAACTCAGATTTTTATTTAAAACAATCAACCTCGAGAAGCAAATTATTAAAGCACACACCTTTTTCCATCTCCTTTTTCCAGTTGTCTTGGCTGTGGGGATATTTCTGAGCTCCCACAGGACACCTTTCTAACGCCACTTTTTGTGTGCCCTCCTGCAATTACCAGCTCTGCAGACATTTCACTGGCAGCAGCCCATTAAACTGTCCTTCATGAGAAATCTGGCCCTTTATGAAAACGACACCTTGGTCCAGCTGCCTCTATGATTTATATGCTATTGTTTGCTTAGTTAAGTAATAGAAACATGTTTTGCTTGTCTCAGCACTTCAGGTTGAGAAAAAGCTAAGGAAAATCGAGCTGCATTTGTTCTTTTGCAAATGTTACTCTTTAGCAGCAACAACCGCACAAACACACGCACCCGCCAACAGCAAGAAACAATAAAAGTCAGAAA